CTTCCTGAATTATGCCCCCTGATTGTACGAAAAATCACGTTTTAGCTTGTGGACCCTATAGAGGTCATAATTTTTATCTGATTTAAAAAAAACGTATTATATCACCGTTAAACCCTAAGAAGGGCTGAGTTCGAATTTCGTGAAAATCGGCCAAAAACTGACCGACAAAATGGCCACCGTTCGTTCTCAAATAGCGTAAAAATATGGTATATCAAGGTTGTGGACCCTATAGAGGTCATAATTTTTATCCGATTTTGTTGAAACTTGAAATGTAAGTTTATAACCCAAAGATCTCAGTTCCTTTCGATATTCGCGCATATCGGACCGTAACTTCCTGAATTATGGCCCCTGATTGTACGGAAAATCGCGTTTTTAGCTTGTGGACCCTATAGAGGTCATAATTTTTATCCGATTTAAAAAATCGTATTATTATATCTCCGTTACACCCTAAGGAAGGTTGAGTTCGAATTTCGTGAAAATCGGCCCAAAATTGACAGACAAAATGGCCGCCGTTCGTTCTCTATTATGACCTATAGAGGTCATAATTTTTATCCGATTTAAAAAAACTTATTATTATATCACCGTTACACCCAAAGGACGACTGAATTCAAATTTCGTGAAAATCGGCCCAAAATTGACAGACAAAATGGCTGCCGTTAGTTCTCAAATAGCGTAAAAATATGGTATATCAAGGTTGTGGACCCTATAGAGGTCACAATTTTTATCCGATTTTGTTGAAACTTGAAATGTAAGTTTATAACGCAAAGATCTCAGTTCCTTTCGATATTTGCGCATATCGAACTGTAATTTCCTGAATTATGGCCCTTGATTGTAGGAAAAATCACTTTCTTGTTAGCTTGTTCTCTATCCATCTCTCGAAAATGTGGGCGTATCCTGCCTGGCAGCCGCTGGTTATATATTAGCGCATCTCGGCTGCTTTCGTTATTGGCATGTATCGGATCAAAACTTCATGGATTATGGCCCCTGATTGTACGAAAAATCACGCTTTTAACTTGTGGTCCCTCTAGAGGACACAATTTGTATCTAATTAAAAAAAAACGTTTTAGTATATCACCGTTACACCCTAATGATGGTTGAGTTTCAATTCCATGAAAATTGCACCAAAAATGGCCGGCCCTTGTACGCAAATAGTGTGAACATCTGGTATATCAAGGTTGTGGACCTCCTAGAGGTCACAATTTTGATGAAACTTGAAATGCATGTTTATAACCCAAAGATCTTGGTTCCTTTCAATATTTGCGCATATCGGATCGTAACTTCCTGAATTATGGCCCTTGATTGTACAAAAAATCGCGTTTTGACCTTGTCCCTATAGAGGTCACAATTTTATCCGATTTATAATAAAAAAAAAAAGTGTGAATATATCACAGTTATACACTAATGATTTTTGAGTTCGAATCGGACAAAAATTGTACGCAAATAGTGTAAAAAATATGGTATATCAAGGTTGTTGTGGACCCTCTAGAGGCCACAGTTTTTGATGAAACTTTAAATATGTTTTTATCATAAAGATCTGCTGATAATCACACATATCCGAACGTAACTTCCTGGATTATGGCCCCTGGTATGAGTATGTAATACAAAGGTTATGGACCCTCTAAATGATACTTAAAACATATCTTTATATTCTAAAAATCTCAGTGCCTTTTGATATTTGCACATTTAAGACCATAACTTTGTGGATTATGACCCTGATTGTACAAAAAATCCTTTTTGTTTTAGCTTGTTCTCTATCCATCTCTTGCAAAATGTGGGGAAATCCTGCCTGGCAGCCACTGTTTTTTTTAAATCTTGTGTTTATGTATGGTGGTTTACCAAAATTGCCCATTGACTTCAATGTTAAATGGCTGTAACATTGGACTGTAGCTCTTTGCTCAACATTCCGTCGGTTCCAATCTTTCTAGGCACAATGGGGACCACATTTGGCAATCTCCTCATCATAATTTTGTAGGGGGTTAACCGTTTAGATTTTTTGCTACGGGGATTTGAAGGTGACTGGGGTGAAAATCTCACTTCCGACACAATGATTGCTCTGTAGAAAGACACTTTACACCCCCTATCCCTTTTCTCCAAATCTAGACCAAAAAGTCAACCAAAAAAAAAGGAAGAGGGGAGAAAACGAGAGCATTAACTAATGCTGCAATATACGTCCACATTCCAACTTTGATTGATATGGTACTTTTTAAAAAGAAGAGAATGAAATATGAAATGGCTGTAATATGATCAGAGGCAAAGAAGGCTAGGCGTTGGGTTTGTTTTGCCAAATTTACAGACAAAATACTAACAAAAATGTAGGTATGACACCACCCCAGGAGGTCAGAGCAAACATCAAAATAAATAGTTGCTGTCTTTACAGTATAAGGAATAAATATGCAAAGTTCCAAGATGATCCATTCAGAATTGCAGTCTGTAGATGATAAATACAAAAAAAAGTGTGGGGTTTGGATGTGGAAACAATATAAATAGGTACCACACTGTTATTGAAATGACAACATCAATAGTTGCCATCCTTAGGGTATAAGGAATAAGTATACCAAGTTCCAAGATAATCCATTCAGAATTTTGGCCTTTGGGCGATAAAGGCAAAAATGGGGCGTGGCTCTGCCCCTGGGGGTCGGGGCTTTCACCAAAATCAATAGTTGACGCCCTTAGGCTACAAGGAATACATATGCCAGGTACCAAGTTGATCAATAATAATTCCGGCCAGTAAACGATAAACACAAAAATTGGGCGTGGCTCTGCACCTGGGGGTCGGCACAAGCAGTTGTAGTCCTTAGGCTATAAGGAATACATATTGAAAGTTCAAAGACAATCCATTAAGAATCGTGACCTGTAGGCAACTCACAGAGACACAAATAAAAAAATTGGGTGTGGCTCTACCCCTGGGGTTTGGGCAATCACCAAAAAAACAGCAGGGGGTATAAGGAATAGGTATGCAAAGTTTCAAAAGGATCTGTTAAAAATTGCGGCCTGTAGGTGACAGAAGGCACACAGGGGGTCGGGCATGCACCAAAAATAATAGAGGTCAGTCTTAGGGTATAAGGAATAAGTATAAAAAAGTTTTCAAGACGATCGATTAAGCATTGCAGACTGTAAGTGACATACAGACACACAAAAACAAAATGGGCGTGGCTCTGTCCCTAGGGGGTGGGCATTCACCACAAACAATAGGGATGTTCCTTAGGATAGAAGGAATAAGTATACAAAGTTTCAAGGTGATACGTTAAGATGACAAACAAATAAATACAAGAAATGGGCATGGCTCTGTCACTGGGGGTCGGGCATGAACCATAAACAATAGGGATCATCCTTAGGGTATAAGGAGTTCATATGAAATTTTTTTAAGATGATCGATTAAGAATTGTGGCCTGTAGGCGACACACAGACACACAAAAAGAAAATGTGCGTGGCCCAAACGATAGGGATGTTCCTTAGGGTACAAAGAATAAGTATGCAAAGTTTCGAGATACGTTAAGAAATGCGGCCTGTAGACGACAAACAAATACAAGAAATGGGCGTGGCTCTGCCCCCAGGGAACGGGCATGCACCCAGGGCTGCCGACAACCAGTATCGTAGCGCAATTTGCGATACATATTTTGTCCGTTACTAATCAAAAATTAAAATCTAACGTTTTTGATTCGCAGTAACTGCGAATCATTAATATGCCTGTCATTTTGGATATTGACACAAAGATTTATCCACATTTCTCAACACTTTCAACGTGTATAAAATATCAAATAAATTTTATAAACAAAACGGAATTTTCCGTGTGACATTTTCTTCTCGAACTACCCAGATTCAATTCATTATACTATATAATACAGGGACATAACTCGGGACGATTAAACCGGAAATAGGGAATCAAGTAGTACCACTCACGTTGCGAGACATGCCAATTTCGAGTAATTATATCAGTATTCAATTTGAAAAAAAATAAATTCAGTGTATCCCCCACGTATTGTAAATAAAATATAAAAAATAAATACGTGTAAACGTATTGTAAAATGAGAAATCAAAGTAAGAATTCCCGTAAACTATTATTGTATATATCGCGTGCGTCTAGTTAATCGAGATTATTCGTAAAACACCGCGTGCTTCCGATTGAACAAAAATAATAACACACGATAAAAAGCAGACGAAATTGTTTTTTAACGAAGAAATAAGAAGCCACTGCCAAGAATTTGCTTCAGACATAAGGCCTAACCAAAAGTCTACATTCATTCAGAAATGTTCACAGCTACCTGTGGAAGTTCTAAAATTCTAAAAAATCTTAATGAAATCTAATCATTTGTTATCAATTAAAATTAAAATAATCTTGTTATTTAGGTGTTTTATGTTGAAACTGAAAAACTGCTAATCAATTTTTAAATTTGCTAATCAAATTTGGCAAAATTGGACTTTTTGATTAGCAGTGCTGCTAATCATCTGTGAAAAATTACCGACAGCCCTGCATGCACCAAAAAGAATAGGGATCATCCTTAGGGTATAAGGAATAAGTATGTAAAGATTCAAGATGATCATTTACGAATTGTGGCCTGTAGGCGAAATGGCAATCTGGTTAAAACACAGATCCTATTTCGTTTCGTTTTTATAGTTCAAAATTTCGTTTTACTTGTCTTTAATACACTTGGATCTGGAAGACTTGTTATTTAACTCGTGTTCTGCTTGAAATGAGGGGTCAGCCAATCAAATGGTCTGTCGAATCGAGTGTTTGACCTTTTTTGCCCGGAACTGTGGGTAATCCACTAGTAAAATCAATGCTGATTGGTTAATTAAATGTCTGACGTCATAGGTCAAAAGTCGGTCTTTTGACCCCTGACGTGACCTAAAGCTATAACTTGTCAGATCTTCATGTAGTGTAGGCCATCGAAAGTATAAAATAACGAAACGAAATATAGATCTGTATTTTAATCAGATTGGCGAAATGGGCGTGGTACAAAGAATAAGTATGCAAAGTTTTAAAATGATATGTTAAGAAATGCAGTCTGTAGACGACAAACAAACAAATACAAAAAATGGGCATGCACCAAAAACAATCTTGATCTTCCTTAGGGTATAAGGAATAAGTATATAAAGTTTGAAGAAAATCGAGTAAGAATTGTGGCCGTGGACGTATAAAAATTAAGGGAAAAATTGTCTATAACTCGCACTACATTCATCCATCATGAAATAAGGGGAAATAATTACTAGTCTTAGTCCTATATACCTCACATGTTCTTGCTGTTTGAACAAATCTGTTGTATTCTAATAAACAAACATATATGCAATGCCCTGGCCAAAGATTATGAAAATCCATGCATTTTCAGACCAATAGTGCAGCATTCTCCAAACACTATAATACAGCAGCAAACTGCGAATTTTCAGAAAGAAATTTAAAAGCACATGAATTTGGATTTCCACAGAACATTTTTTTTTTGAACATAAATGCATTCTGTAAAAAGATAACAAAAAATCAATATAAATCAAACAAGAAAATCCTTTAAAACAGTAATTATCATGTAATTATATTAGATTTTTTTTAACATTTTTGTCGAAAAGCACATAGTTTTTCTCCATTAACGCAGTTTCAAGTGCCAAATTGTGGTCAAAACTTAGATGGTGAAACATGCCTATAAATTTTAAAATGTCTTCTACATAGCTGTATTTACATAGGGCAATTAAGTTCAGTTTATAATCTGATTATGTAATACTACAACAGTTTTATGATCTTGACGCCCCCTAGTATGGAATCTGATACATGGCTGACCAATCATAGTTCTCACTCTTCATTCTGGTCTGTCAAATGATTTACAATGGTGATGGTGCCTACAACTTTCCTGACCCAGAGATATGCACAACAGTCAACATTCAAGCCATTTATTTTATCTTCCAATATGAGAGGCCATAATAAACGCAAGGCTGTCTTTTTTCAAACTCGGAAATGAAGTCAACACTAAACAGCAACATTTACAGGGGTCCTTGGCTGGAACCCAAACCGATTATGTTTTGCCCTCAACTTCCACAGCTGTCACAGAGATCGGGGATGAAATTAATATGTATGCATCATCTTTCTACTAAAGCCAGTCCAGGAAGTCATCGGGTTTTGAGATGTAGACCTGAAATGTTAAATTTAGATGAGACTGGGAATTCTGAGTCGAATACTATCCAGGGAAACAGGATTATAGACATCCAGAAAATGGTTGAAATGTGGAACTCCGTCATTCAGTTACATGCCCAGGGGAGAAGAAAGGCCTGTGCAGTACCAAATTTCCAGCCTGTTAGTGAGCAGAAGTGGGCAGTGGGTTGGATGTACTCTGTAAAGTGTACAAAATGTACATTTATCTCACCTGTCTACAAGTTGTATAAAGAGATTTCAACTGGGAAATAATCTGACCTACAATCTGGACTGTTAGACATGCCAGTTGGAAACACCAGAGCTCGGCTGCTGTTGACAGATTTGGATATTCCACCGCCCTATCGGAGTGGCATGCAGACTCTTTCTAACCAAGTTAGTCCTAAAATGACAAGGTTGAACACTATTAACATGAGGGAAAAAATAGAAGCAGTTAAATCTTTTAATCAGAAGGGAGGGTCAGTAAACCCAAATATAAGAAATGTTGCAGTGGATATGGGCATTACAACAGCATAACCATAGGCCACAGTAAAATGCCAGAGCAAGCGGCCTCGCAAGCCATTGGAATTGCATGCGAGACAAACACAAAGCACAAATATATCCTGAGTGCTGTGATGCAAAATAAACTGTGCTGGCAAGGTGCCTGGCTTAAGGGAAAAGGTTTTACGGTCAACTGCCCTGGGGGATACGAAGGCTGTACTGCAAATTTTCCAGTCCACGCACCATTATCTGAGTATGATATGGGGAAAAGCATTGGCACAGAACTAGCTCTCTAAAACATCCTCATCAAATATGCAACAACAGATGGAGATGGACGATCAGCTGCTGGAATTGAAGATAGTTTAAAAATTTTGCATCCGATGTGGAGTGTGGAGCGACTAGCTGACCCTTCGCACCTGGCTGCCACTCAATTTAGGCACTGCTATAATGCAAAATTCAGTGACAAGATGTTTCCTGGTAAATCCAAACTGGATAAGGACAAGATCAAGAAAATACTGAGCCAAGATGTAAAAGCTAGATACAGTCTAATCATGACTACATTGTTTGAAAATCACTGTGAGAAAACGCCTACCAAAAGTCCTAGAGTCCACTATCATGTGTTACGATGGTGACTGCTAAAAGTGCCGCCCTCATTCTGTTGTGTGCCGGGGTGGGATAACACATGAAACGGTTCCACCAGTTATTTATCTGACCTCAAATAAAGTTGATTCCCTGAATATGAATGAAAATGACAAATCAATTCTAAGTGAAATTTTAAAAATCCGAATAAGTGAAGCAGCTTTAGAAAAAACAAATTCCAAACAAACACACAGAAGAATGTAAATTACGGAAGAAATGCGATGGGTCGACTTTCCTCAACAATACTGAGAAGCAATGATGGAATAAAGAGTGCCACCGAGCAGAAAGCTAAACTCCTTGTGGCCCCTCTTTCTCCAAAGACAAGATATTCCCTGCGGCAAATAGAAAGAGAAAATCTGTACCACAGAGAATACCAATCAAGACCCGAAGTGCAAAGACAAGCACTTCTGCTGCGTGGACGAAAGCTTCGTGAATTCCGTGAGTACAAGAATTACTGTGCAGTTGAATCTGGCTACAAAAAAAAGGTTATTTAGACCAGCCATCAACAGCAGACGACACTTTACAGGATCACAGCTATAGTAAATAAGCAAGGCAGACAAATGCAAGCCATGATATAGGCCTACCCACCTTTTGCCTTAATTCTTGTGTTGAGGTCAATCATTCCACTCTTGCACAGTAACCTGACACCTGAAATGATAGAAAGATGAGAATAAATATGCAATAAAAAAAGTAAGAAAATAATAATAAAAACAAAAAAAAATATATGTGGTTGAATAAGAAGGGAGACCTCCTCCCGGTTTCAACTGGAAATAGAAATAATATGCCTCTTTATTTCTAGCGAACATCCCTTCAGTGGCCCTCCAACCAGAAATTAGTTACCAATCAATAAAAAAAAAAGTAAACCTTGAGTGTGACATACATCTAAACCAGTCTCAAATGTAGAAGACACCTGCTGTAGGCACCATGGCCAAAGCAATGGCCATTGGATTTACAATACTGTATGTTGTTATTTATGGTGCTGCTCAAATCTGATGTGGCTGGTATTCGTACACAGGCTGTTGTGGCAGACAATCAGACATGCGAACAATCCATGATGTTTAAGGGCAAATCGGATAAGAATTGTGACCTGTAGAGAGTCCACAAACAATTGTGGACGGACATGGGCGACGACAATATATACGTCCACATGAAAATTTGGGCGTATAAAACTTGTGACCTCTAGAGGGACCACAAGCAAAAAGTGCGATTTTTCATACAATCAGGGGCCATAATTCAGAAATTTACATTCCGATATGCGTAAATATCGACAGGAAACAAGATATATATTTGGGTTATAAACATGCTTTTCAAGTTTCATCACAATCGGATCAAAATTGTGACCTCTATGACTATGGGGCGCCGTTTGTAAAATAATTATTTAATTTTTTTTTTATAGCAAAAAACATTAGATTTAACTCCGAATATAAATATTTAGATAAATATTAGAACAAAAATGGCATATATGTAAATATCAAAAAATATTGCAGCTAAAAGTCGAGTTTTTGGTCTATGAAAAACTTTAAATGTTATATCTTGATTTCACATCGCTTAATTAGTAAAATATATAGTTAAATGTGCTGTTTTTCGTAGGTATAAATACTAAATCACTGAAAAATCTAAAGTAAATATTTAGCTAAATATATAAACATTTAGCTAAATATATAAACATTTAGCTAAATATATAAACATTTAGCTAAATATATAAACATTTAGCTAAATATATATATTTAGTTAAATATATAAACATTTAACTAAATATCTATTTGTGGTCCCGCGAATATTTCTATTATCGTAAGCGACACAAAAAACTGCGCATAAAATGATGACGTGTACCCGACACGTGAGCCTTAAATTGGCACAATAGGCCTACTAGCAATTAGAAATGGGAGCTGACCACGAACTTGTAACCCGAATCACGGGTGTAAGAACTAAGCTGAGCGTTCAGGTACCAGATAGTACTGCGTTGTGCAGTCAATGGAAAGTTGTACACTACGTCATCGTTTAGTGTGAAGTCGCTTACAACAATAATTATTTTACAAACGGTGTGGTACGGTTGCGCTTTGTAAATTTAACTATATGTTTAGCTAAATATATAATTATTTAGTTACATAATATAAATTGTTAGCTAAATATATATCATTTAGCTAAATATATATTATTTAGCTAAATATATATCATTTAGCTAAATATTTAAAATTTAACTATAATTTAAATTTAATCTAGTGTTTTTTGCTATATAAAAAGCTAAATAATTAATTTACAAACGGCGCCCCATACTAGACGGTCGACAACCATTTTGATCTGGCAGTTTTTGTCCGATTTTCACGAAATTCAAACTCAACCATCATTAGTGTATAACTATAACTGTGATAATTATATAAAGATCTTGGTTCCTTTTGATATCGCGCATATCCGAACGTAACTTCTTGGATATCGCCCCTGACATATAGTTCGAAAAATTACATTTTTAGCTAGCTGATTTTTAAAGCCGTTTAAATATATCACCATTCCACCATAATGGAGGTTGAATTAATGAAACTGCCCAACAAAATGGCCGCTCTTTGTACGCAAATTATGTAAAAGTATGTAATACGAAGGTTGTGGGCCCTCTAGAGGTCACAATTTTTATCCGATTTTGATGAAACTTGAAATGTATGTTCATAACCCATAGATCTCGGTTCCTTTCGATATTCATGCATTTCGGACCATATCTTCCTAGATTATGGCCCTTGATTGTACAAAAAATCACATTATTTTTTAGCTCGTTCTCTGTCCATCTCTTGCAAAATCTGGGTGTATCTTGGCAACCGCTTGTTTGACTGTCTATAGTTGACATGGATCTAGGCTACCCGAATAACCCACAATTTGTCCACATTTATCTCTCAAACATATCGGCGTGTTTCAGTGGTCTCTTTTGACCAATCACGAGCGGGATGACAAATTATAACCGGATATACCAATTTTAACCAACATCAGACAATGACGCCTAGTGTCGTTGACAATAATAGACATCTGAAATAGATATTTGCAGTTAGCCTAATACTTAGTAATAGACACTGAATCATTATGACGGGAAGGTTATCCTAACAAATATAAACAAATAGAGACTATAAATGTTGCAGACATTGTGAAAAGCTTTTTGTGCATAATTATCTCTCGGTAATAAACTGATTTTGTAATATAAAAATGTTGCTAGAGTAGAATAAATGTGAAGTTGGGACGAACTAGTTTATACCTGACCCCTTCCCAAAATTGTTTAAAAAATATATGTTAGGAGTATGGCCTTAAAAGCTAATAAATTCGAAATTATACCTCTCTAGGTCAAAAACTCGCTGAGATATGGCCATTTGAAATTAGGGTGCTGAAACGGATATTCAGTGATTTCTTTCAGGTTTTTGGGTCGGACTCTCGGGTAATCTAAGACAACTTTTGGTGTAGGCCTAGCTACGAGAACGTAGCTAAAAACGTTGAGATATACTGATGTGTTTGTTTTTAGCTACAATTGGATGCCTTTAGTTCCAAGTGGCAAACTCAATTTCTTTATTAATGCATGTAACATCTTTAAAATAAGATAAGTTTATGCTATTATGATTAATTAAATTACAGAGGCCAATGTAGTGGCACAACTGTCGCCTAACTCCAAATATTCGCGTTTAAATTAATGAAGCGTTGTTTTTGTCTGACATTTACCGCCATCGAAATCCATTCATAGTTATACAGAGCTTTAGATTTCCCTATTGATTGGCTGTTATAAAAGCCTTATATTTAGCCCCACCTTCATGATGACAGCGTATCGTTTAAAAAGATGGCGGTCCTAGTAACGGCTTAACGCCTCGATTTTAAAAACGACGATTTGTACCCATTACAGGTAGGATTATATGCTTAATTGTAGTTGGGTCTGGCAGAAATATTATAAATAACAATAATCAATCGTTGTTTTTATTAAAAATGTTAGTTTTGTTTACAAATACCGGGTGCGAATCGCTCCCGCATGTGCTACGTTGAAGGTAATGGCCTCATGTCTTATCTCGAAACACGGAGGGTTGAGAGATTAAGGTTTATTATCTAGTGTAGGCCTAGATTACGAATTTAGTATCACACCCAATGTGTGATCCATACAGTTCGTGCCACCAGGTGGCAAAATGTGGAACAAAATAACGACCGGTATTCACTTTTTTTAAGGATTTCCACAGCTTCTTCTGGCAAGGTCACTATTGTATACACAACCTCCAAAATTGGCATAGTTAATGTCAGTTTGTCTTTATCAATTTACAAAAGATTATGATTCAATGGGATATATACTTTTCCAAATATTCAGTCTTAAAATTCAATGCACACTGAAAACGTACAAAATATACCCATTTTTATACGCCCACATAGAAATGTGGATGTATATTACTATTTCCCCAGTCCGTCTGTCCGTTCGTCCATCGACCACAAGTTATTATCCAATTGTTTTAAAATTGATATATACTCTTCAAAAAAAGTAGGGGATATTTAGAAACAATACAAAACTGCGGAAATGCACCGCTGTTTTTATTAGAGGTAACCAGTGTATGTTAATAACAGGCTAATTGCCTACACATGAGCATAAACAGTTCATATGGGCGGCTTATCTGACGGCCCCATTTCACTCACAAAAAGATACACTGTCAAAAGTGAAAATGGAAGTTTTTGGTTTTTGTCTTAATTACCGGGTGACACAAAAAAAACGTTCATCAATAAAAATCGAATAACTTCCAAAATTTAATTTAGATTAACACAAAAGTTCAGCTACATTAGGTTAATTCTCTATGTAGCAGACATCTCCAAAGTTTCAAGTCTGTACCACAAAAACTATTTGTTTAACTGGCGCTCAAAAAATGTGCTCTAAATGAGCTCCCCGGTGCTGCAAGCACAATTGGATCCGGCGGGCAAAGTTCTCGATGACCCTCCCACATTCTTCCCTTGGGATCGCTTTTATTGCTGCTGTGATTGCTGCCTTCAGATCAGGGATAGTCTGGGGGTTGTTGCCATACACCCTATCCTTAAAGGAGCTAAATCGCTAACATTTGGGACCTAGAAATTGACAAAAGTGGGTCGCAACGCATATAATACTGTAGTATGAATGTATATAAACTGATCTACATTAAATGGTTACCGTTTTTACTCCAAATTTCAAATAATTGATTAATTATTTCAAAAGTTATTCAAGTTTAGGCGATGAATGCTTTTTTTGTGTCACCCGGTATTTAATTATTTATTATTTAATACATTTATATAGCACATCTTTCACCGAAGTGTTCAGATGCGCTTAACAATAACAAAGTAAAATACAATTTATAATAAAAAAGAAGTTCCTAAAAAACAGTTCCTAAAAATAAAAAAGTAAGAAGAGAGAGACAATGTAAAAATGATATAAATTTTTTTAAAACTTCCCATAAAACAGTCAAATGTGTAAAATCAGTAAAAAGCGTGTTTGAATAAATGAGTTTTCAAGTGCGAAATAATGAGTAATTGCTCCACCAATCCTCAGACATTCAGCAATTTGTCGTGGCATATTCCTAATCAACCGTCCAATCACGATTTGGGGCAATCTGACCCACTCCTCTTGCAGTGCCACAGCCAATTCTTGCAGTGTTGTCGGTTGACGTTGACGTCGACGAACACGTCTCCCGATCAAATTTAAACGTAACACACTAAAGCAAAGATATGCTAAACAGCAAGTCTTATGCAAGAACCGATAGGAAAGCAAACATGGATAGATAAACCAGCACGCGACATTTTTTATCAACCCTTCCTTGAAGTGTAAAATTTGACAATGAACCCCTCCCACGTGTATGGCGCTATTGCGTGTCGCATGTGCAGCTCAGTGGTTCTGTTGAGGCGATAAATTCTTCATCTGTGAACATACTCTCAAAGCATGTCAAGTGTCCATGACTATTTATTATATCACAACCTGCATAAGTATTTGCATTTCAATATCCCTTGAAGAGTATATGTGGTTTACATTAGTGATATGAAGACTCCTATTTAATTTCAATAATTTCTGTTCATTATGTCTAGAGTTATGGCCCTTGTTTCACTTTGTTGAACCTTGTGAACGCTATTACTACAAGTTATCATCTGCTCTTTCTGAAATTTATATGCATTATTTTAATTAGTGATACGAAAAAGCCTATTGATTTTCAGCAATTTCCGTTCATTACATCTAGAGCTATGGCTGTTGTTGCACATTATTGAACCTTGTGAACATTCTAACGCGAAAAGTGATCACCCGATCTTTGTGAAATTTATATGCATGATTTAAATTAGTGAAACCACGAAGCCCTTTGAATTTCAGCAATTTACAATAATTACTTCTTGAGTTATGGCCCTTGTTTCACTTTGTTCAACCTTGTTACCGGTAATCCTCGATTTATG